GAATGACGTTATAGCTACCCCAGATTTTGTGGAGGTGGAAAGAAAGCAAAAATCCAGAATTTGAAGGAGGGGTAACATTACCCTGGGAGGTATGGGGAAGAAAGAGGTATTCATTATCTTTTGTCTTTTAGAACAGTCCCTGGAGTCTTCCTCCAGAATGCAAACACCCTGGTGCTGCTGTTTATCTTTTCAATGGTGTCTGAAAACAAGGGAACCAATGAGAGCCCGAAGCTCATACTGCCTGCTGTACTGAGAGTCATAAAGTACTTTATCTTTGACCCAAGTGTATCATATCTGCTGCCAATATCTAGGAAACTCTGGCAGGCAAGGAAGTTAGCTTGCAAATAGGGTAAGAACTCAAAGTATTCACAGTGTTTGATATAAACACAAAGTAACTAAAGAGAGTTCAGTTTAATTATATTCTGGCTTGATTGGAAATTGAAAATATAGGAACAATAATATTGGCGTCTAGACATTTTATAAACAGTGATTTCATAGTTTATCACAGAAGTTCACAAAATATATTAACAATGTATATCATATCCCTCCATGCATCCTTTTGGCACTTAATTCTTGTGGAATCTGTGGTGGACAGTTAAATATGGGTTTTGATTTTCCAGACACTGACAGCATCTCAGCTTGAGCAAACTAAATCTTGTTCATCAGATATGCAGAAGAAACCAAAACATGAATGTACCAAGGGACTTTTCAACCAACAGAGGAAAGAAGTTTGTCATCGTCAATCCACAGATAGATCATTCTGACAAACATCATTTATGCTCAGAAAGTTCCAGGGAGAATCCAGCCTAAGTTCAGTACAGTTGCCTCAGTAATACACCCTACTTTTCCTTCTTCCTTTACTCCTCTTCATCCCTCATTCCTGCTTTCTGGGATTACCAAACAAATAGACTACCTAAACACAAGTAGTTGTCTCAAGCTCTTCTTTTGGAAACTACCCAATTTAAAACAAAGGAAACAGCTCGTTCACAACAAATATGCTTAGGGTGTATATTTATTAACTTTTTTTCTGTCAAACAATTTCATATACTTCCAAGAACTAAATAAAGAGTTTACACCATAAGATATAATTTGAGTTAAATTTTGAAAAATGAATTAAACAACTGACAATAACATCATTTTACAGTACAAGATGATTCTACTGGCTGATGATCATTTAGACATAAGATAACTTGGGAGTTTACACTGGATTGCATAAGGAAGATGCCTGGAAAAAGTCAGGATTGCAATCCTCGGTCTGGTACTGATATGGTTTGGCTGTGTCCTCACCCAGATCTCATCTTGAATTGTAGCTCCCATAATTCCCATGTATTGTGGGAAGGACTCGGTTGGAGATAACTGAATCGTAGGGGCGGTTCCCCCACACTATTCTTGTGGTTGTGAATAAACCTCATGAGATCTGATTTTATAAAAGTTTCGCCTTTTATTTGACTCGCATTCTCTCATCTGCTGCCATGTAAGATGTGCCTTCTGCCATAATTGTGAGGCCTCCCCAGCCATGTGGAATTGTGAGTCAATTAAGCCTTTTTTTCTTTATAAATCACTCAGTCTCAGGTATCTCTTTGTCTGCAGCATAAAAATGAACGAATACAGGAATCAATCCAAAATGTATGTCCTGCATGAGTAAACTATACTTCAGACCTATTTAATGTTAAGTATTTGGATATATTCTTTAAGACCTTCAAAATTTGACATCATCTTACTGTTTCTGTGGGTAAACTACATTAGACCTAATAAACAAAATAAGACCTTGAAAAGCATTAACCTACATTGTACTAATAAAATATTGAATTCAATTCTGATTGTTATATAAATTGGATGACATAGAGCTTAAATAAGGGTAAGATAATTATTGCTCTGCAAAGAAGCAGAGGTGGAGATGAAAGTTAGAGAGAAGCAACTCAAAATCTTTCAAAGAAATTAGTGATCCCATAATGAATAATCTATTGAAAAGCCATAAGAATTAAGTGTTCTGTGGAATTTTTTTTTTCTTAATTAGTGTCAGGTAGAGGGATACAACTTAATCATTATTTGACTCTATGGTAATAAAAAGTTGACTAACAGTGGTAAAGGAATTTCCAAATTTTCATCAATGTCCATCAATGGTCACACTAAATAACCTAAACTGATGAATAAAAAAAACTAGCAAACATATGCATAACATTCCTTAAATAACAAAGCACTTTCATATGTTACTGTCTTTAATTCTTATGGCTTCATAAGGAGAATAAATGAATAGACAAAATTGTTTCCATTTTACAAATGCTGCTTTTGAATGTTATAAGTGATTTTTCTTACAGTTTCATCAAACAACTAGCAGGACACCAAATTAGAACTCAACCCAAAGTACTCTAACACAAATTCCATTCTTTTTCTCTGTAGTCATTATAATGATGTCTGTTTTGGGGTGATATTTCTATCTGTGATAGTAACAAACAGATCCTGCTGAAATCCAGATTTGGGGAAGCAGTTTTAAATCCCCCATAGTTCCATTGGACAGAAAATAAACTCTAAAATTTAGAAGATACAGAGTCACTCTAAGAAGGAATAAGGCAATCAGAAATATAGTAGTAGCTGGTCCAGAATACCTTTGCTGATTGAAAATTTATTCTATAATGTTTTCCTACCTAACTACTAAAGCTACTAACCCTTATTTTTAAATTTATGTTTCGCCAACTATCTCAATGGTGCAGGTTTTTAATCATCTTATTCCTCCCTCTAGCTTGCCAAACTGCCTTTGATTTTTCCATTTTTCTCAAGAATTCACCCTCTCAATAAAGCCAAAATAGGCAATGAAATATCTTCATTGATAGATAGCTCTCATTTAAAAAAAAAAATTCGTTAGGCAGAGAGACTGTGAAATGAACATAAACACCTAGATTAAAAGCAGCCAAAGAGTTCTAGTTGCCAGTATGTTTCAAAAATAATCACAAAATTGGGGAGTTAAAAGAAACTTTAGAAATCATCAGCCAAGAATTAACCAAAGTTACTCAAACACAGAACTGAAAGCCAAATTGTTTGACATAGGTCCAGGCCCTTCCCAATATACTAGGTTGCACTACTAGTTTACTAACTATCTTATTTTTGTTTCTCTATTTATTGGATATATCTGTTAACTCTTTAGAAGTGAAATATTAATAGCATTCATTAAATAACCATATGTTTTATAAATACAATAAGAAAGGTTACCAATCCCTATGGAATATCAGGATTGCAAGCTATATTAGCTAATAATTTTATATCATTTATTAGATTTATATTGTCTCTTAAAAGCTCATGATATCAATAATTTACAAGTAAATTATTCACTTATTATTCTGCTCATTTAGAGAATGCATCATCATCCTCATCCTTACCATCATCCTCAACCATATAATATGAAATTGTGTTACTAATCAGTTAAAGTATAATTGAACCATTAAGGAAACCAGAATAAGAATAGCATATGGGAAAACAAGAAATTAAATGTTTTGTGTACTTTTTAGTATATGAATACTTATGAATAAATTCATACTCAATTAAAAAAAATTAATTTAGGTGGAAATCCTGGTTAACACCTATAACAAGGTTGTAATATTTTCTTAAATGTGAAATATGCTATTGTAGCTATTAGAATGTTTCCAGTTCACGTCTTAAGCCATAGCTATTTCCAATAAAGTAAATACCTTCTATACCTTTTATGCTCATATGATCCATATAATGATGTTCCTTCCATTTACACAGGTACTACCCTAGGGCAAGCAACCACTACCCTTCCTACACTATTGAAAGAGGCTTCCCACTGATCTCCCCATTTCCATTCCTACTTTTGCTTCCTTACCCCACGCACACTATATTTTACCATAACACCCCTTTCTATCTTTCTAGACTATAAATCTGCCTGAGTCACTCCTCTATTTAACCCAACCATACCAATATTCTTCCAGCTTCTCAGATATGCCCTTTCTTTCCTAAGGGGACAGACTTGCCCCCTCTCCATGCTTCTCCTGCTCCTTATCTACATTCTCACTTTCCTTCCCGTCATTTTACTGTCTTTTCCTTTAGATAACATCTTAAATGTCATCTTCTCAGTGAGGTTTTTTCTGACTAACATCTTGTCTGTCACTCTTTTTTTTTTTTTACATTTTAATATTTACAGGAGCATAATAGGCATATATAATTAATGGGGTACATGAGATATTTTGATACAGGCATATAATGCATAACAATCATATCAGGGTAAATGGGGTATCCATCACTTCAAGCATTTATCATTTGTTTATGTTACAAACATTTCGTTTATACTTTTAGTTATTTTAAAATATACAATAAGTCACTGTTGACTGTAATCACCCTGGTGTGCTATCAAATACTAGATCCTATGCATTCCATTAAGCTATATTTTTATACCCATTAACCATCCCCACTTCCCCTTCCCCACTCTGTCATTCTTGACAAAAACATATTGTTATATTCACAGAGCACTGTCATCATTTGTATGTGCAGCTGTATTCATGTATGAAAAGATTTACTGGTTGCATCAGAGTAAAGGATAAATAGCACTCTTAATAATTTATATAAGATGTCTCAATTAAACTCTTTTGATTTAACAACTGGAAAACAATTTTAGAAAAATGTTTTGCTTTTCTGAAATACATTTTTTCTAACAGTGCAGAGTATTAGCAAATCCAAATATTATAACATAATATTCATAGAATATGAAACCTCTACACTTCAGAAACACTAATTCTGTAGGTACACACTGAAATCTAGTTGAAACACGTTAATTTAGAAAACTGGTTGCTACTTCTTTTTTAATTTTTACTTTCTAACAGTTGATTAACTTTTAAACTTTTAAATAATTACAGTCTTAAATACAAGTTACAATATTACAAAAAGCTCCCATAAACCTCTCATTCAAAATCCTCATTTATTATCATTTTACCACTCTTTACCACACTTGTTTTATCATTGCATGCTCAAATACACATAAAATGCAATTAAAAAATATTTAATGTATGGAATGCTTCACAAATATCATCCTTATGCAGGAGCCAGAGGAATCTTCTTTGCATCATTCCAATTTTAGTATATGTGTAGCTGAAGTGGCAATCAACATTTTTAATTTTATGCGAATATAGTTCCCATTATATTTTCCAGTAATCATGTTCTTATTTTCAAATACACCTTACTTTTACGTCTGAGCTATTTCCCCTGACAAACATATGTAAGTGCATTAAATAAAACAAATTTATAGTATTTCAAATAAAATTAAAATTGGATTTATGAGTTTCAACTTCCAAATAAAACAATATTAATTGAGTCATTTGTTAATCTGTATGATTACACTTGAGGATGCACGAATATAAATAAGAACCTCTAAAGATTCATGTGCACTCACTGCTAATAGTAACTCACTCAAATCAAATAATTTCTCTGTAAAGTAGGTTCCAGTAATGGCTTTTGTGTTTACATATTTCAAATGGATGTTGTGAAGATTCACAAACTGCAAGAGATGTAAAGATGATTGATTTTGTCCAGCTGCAGTACCCTTTAGCCATCTCTGACATCTAATTTTTAAAGCCCTGGGGAAGGAATTTTTGTAGCTTTGATAACTGTTTTAGGATTTAAAAATCCTTTCTCTTTTGAAGACTCAGTGTAGGAACTTGTTTTGCATCTACAATAGAGCTTTACGTATGTATTTAATATGTGAAAAAATACCTGCTCGCCTAAAAAAAAGAACACCTGCTATGACCAAAGTACCAATGGTATGTATTATTATGAATATAAACAATGGAGTCTAGTTAAGATCCTTTTACTGAAGGATTTTAGATCATGTCAGAAAATATTGTCATGTTAAAATAGCCTCGTGTGTGTGTGTGTGTGTGTGTGTGTGTATGTATGTTTTCTGCTAACTTTAGAATGTATCAAGTGATTTTTATCAGTTTAACGGTAAGTTGGCACCTGAATCTAAAAAGTATAGGTTAAGTCATAACATTTTCCTGCACTGCAACTATAAACACTTAGAATATAGACAAAGTTGGCAAATAAAAATTATTGTATGGACATAGGCAAAATATTATTGTCATTAATTATAGCCTTAGAAATAAGAGATGTATTAGACAAATGGAGTGTGTTGCTTTCTGACCTTTCATTAGAAAAGCAAATAGATTAGAAAATAAATGAAATCACTGTTTTATAAGTAATTGTCATTGCAGCATTGCCTCTCATCAAACCCTATGTTAATAGAAGGAACTCAGCCTGAATGATTGAAAATCAGTGCTCTTTTAGGTGTTGAATTGCTGGATTACCCTCACACTCTCCTTGTTAAAAGCTCCAGAAATTTATTTTCTCATTTGCCCCCCTCCTCCACTTCTACCTAGGTTAAAATGCACCTAGATTTTTTTTTTTTTTTTTTTTTAAATCTCTTAGAGCTCTGTTCTTTGTTAGCCAAGTTGATATACTAGGTTCTTTCATGGGTGATATATGTGTATTAAACAGGATTCTTATGAAAACAATGAGTCAGTCAGAGATTGAAATTACAAGCTCTCTGTGAAAATAATAAAAGTACTTTTGTTTGAGAGAAGGATAATTTGTTGATTGATACTCATATCACACTTCTTGGGTGGCAATTTGCTGACTTGTAAAGTTGGCTCTCTGACTTTTTCAATGAATAAACACATGTTTAATCAATGAATCATAAAGAAGATGCTCTTCAACTTTCAAATTTTAGAAATCCTATTGAGTCCTTAAGATACAAAACACATGTTCCAGTCATTATTTAAAACTTCTCTGTAAGGAAAAGATTTACTCAATTTGCTGATTTAAGAAAAACTTAGGAAGCCAAATATGAAATGTTCCACTTGTATCTTTTTTCAGAAATACAGAATAGAAGATAAGTATTTCATCTCTGAAAGCAAAGCTTTTTCCTTTTCTTCTCTGGGGCTACTTTACTTATTCTAACTGGGTAATAGCTCCTAATTGCAATTTTGAAGTTCAGGGCAGCTTGGAGAGCCTACCCAATTAGAAGCAGAGATAACTCCCTGGGAGGAGGCATGTTAAAAGACTAATGCCTGACAGTAAACGACAAGCCAAAATCAGATAGTTCTACACAACTCTCAGAGGAAAGGGGTCTTACTGCTAGAAAGGGACATTGAGTGGGAGCAGCCAACTGGCTCGTGCACTTGTCAGACAGATGAGTCATTTGATCTTTGATTCCACAAATGTGTTAGAGATTGCCTCTGAGCCAAACTGTGCACACACAGATATTGCTATTGGCCACTTTTAAGAGGTATTTTTGTTGTTTTTGTTTTTAAGAAACCTGTAAAAGAAAGAGGATTCTTTATCCATCCTCTTCCTCTATAGGCTAAAATAATAAAAAGTTAGATGCAGGTCTCCAGTTAAGGCTTAAAAACCAATGGCATGTTAATGTCAGCTGGTTAGTGGAAGAAAGGGTTTTGGTGGTATGATGGTCAAGTGATAATAGTCAAATGAATTATCAATATAATATATAAATCATTACCAAAGTCCTTGAAAGGCACTATTTAGCTTTCTGCAAAAAAAAAAAAAAAAAAAAAAGTAAGAAACCAACATTTGATGACTACGTATAAAAGAAACCCAAATTAGTAAACACAATGTCTCCATCCTTTTTTGTTCTCAGATTAAGAAACAATGAGAGTAGGGATACTTTGAGGCCCACAAAAAGTGTTATTTCTGGTCAAATTAGCTCATTACTATAATTTTAAAAAGAGGAAATCAACTCCACAAAAACTGGAAAACAAGCTTTTTTATTTTATAGATCTCCCTTAAGACAACATTAAATTATATATACTGGCCTAAAAACAAAACAAAACAAAATATCTGTGTGATTTAGGGAGAAGTTTGCTCTGTGACTGTTGGTCAAATGACCCAGATTCACTGCAGTATATGGAGACAATGTGTAGAAAGATCTGGCACATTTATCAAAACAAAATAAGTTGTTCATTGGTTATTTTACTTGGAAAAATAATTCTGATATTTTCCTGGATTGAGTGAATGAGAAAACAATAGAGATAAGAGAAGACACAATAAATATGGGAGAGGCTTGATTAGCATAAAAGTAGTATTATAGTGAGAGGATTAGTTAGAGCATGTAGAGTTAATCGTCTTTCACTGGAAGAATCATAGTGCGAGACACGGTGATTTTTATATAAGCCAATTTACACTTGAGAGGAAGATAGAATGTTAAATAGCCCAATTTAAAAGCCATAGGATGATACAAACATTCTTAAATATACCAGTCCTAAATCATTAGTAAATTATATGCATTTTATATTTCAGACACAAAGAGAATGTTGTTGATGACAAATATTCTTCAAAATTTAATTTCTTATGGCATTCAAAATGACATTAACTCTGAAAACGATTTTATGATACACTTTTAATGAAAACAAACTGTCCTTTATTGTATTCTGTAAAAGTAGCATTAATAGGATAATTGCTGTTTATTGAGTACTTCCTATGTTCCAGGCTCTGTGGTGAGCACATAATGTCCATTATCTTATTAAATCTTCACAATAACATCATGAGTTAGGTATTATAATTGCTATTATATAGATGAGGAAATGGAAGATTGCAGAGGTTAAATACTTTCTTCAAGGTCACAAAGTTGTAATGCTATTATTTGAATTTAGATCTCTTCTGTCTCCCAAACCTGGTTTCTTTATTTCTGTACTATATTGTGATACAATCTCAGACAAAGCAATGAAGTCTAATTATGTATCTTTTTCTGTCTCAATCTGCCTTTTTTTGTGTAGTAGACTATGGAAGTATCTTGAGGAAAAGGGAAGAAAATCACATGAGACGTCAAGATTTTGAAGTCATGCTATGCCAATACTAAAACAGCTCTTACAGTCAGGGTGATACCCAAATATTTAACAACAGGTGGAATATACTGTACAGGCTATAGCTTTTACCAGCAGCCATGAATAGGCAACTTGAGGGGAATCTTGGCCATTTGTAGGTGATCCATGAACTCTGGCTGTGGGAGAAAGGGAGAACAGGATAGAGACAAGAGTGGCAAATGAGAGACATCACAGGCTGACTGACAGGCAAGTAGGTGGAGGAGTCTCAGGGTAACCTCTCGCTCTGCCCACCTGTGTCTGAGCCAGCATGAGATTATTTGAGAGGTCCTGTTAGGGCACTGAATAGCAGCTATTTAAAATGAGTAGAAGTGTTTTAATATTTTATTAACCAGTATGACTGTGCCATGCATGCCAGCTAACCATCAGTCATGCATAGAGGAACTGTATTTGTCTGTTTTCAGTAAATCCTAACTATGAGCATGATCTCACCTGCTTTGCCTCGATGATAGAATACTTATTCGCTTGACCCTAGGTTGTCCGTAGTGAATACAACTAAGTTTTTCAATACTGTATATTGCTAAGGTAAAGCCTAATTCTTATAATAATCAGCTAACTGACCCTTACCACAAAACCATTCCTTTAACCATTTAATCAGTCTGTCACCGTGTGCTTATTTTTACTTTGGTGGTCCATCTTCTGAAGTCAAGCAGACTGGCCACATGACAGTTGCTACGTCTTCCTGGTGAAGACCTGCTAGTTCTGCCACTTGGCACAGCCTCAGGACCTGGTTAGCTCAGCAGGTTGAAGCCCAGCATGAAGGATGTCAACATCACAGGTCCAAATACCATATGGTACAAGGATCTGTCTTTCCATTTTTCAGACTCAGATCTTACCTCCTAACATCTGCCACCCATATAACCTCTTTACACTAGAACGGACACTGGGCAAGTTAGTACCTTTGAAGCAACACAAAACCCTAACAGGAAGGATGGATACCACCTGGTAATCAATTGCATATTAAAAATGACAAAGCCTTAACTGGGTTTGAGTTGAAGTTCAATATGCCAACACTAAACACTCAGTCGGATTCTCCCTAGGAAATGCTGCAAGGAATCACTACAGGGCCTTTGAGTGAGTTCATAATGATTGCCTCAGTGCACTAAATTAGGCGGGTGCAAAAGTAACTGCTGTTTTGGCCATTGAAAGTAATAACACCTTGATTTTCTTGTTTTAAACAGAGCCCAATGCCTTCGATTTATGTGAATCATTAA